TTTAACAGTTATGTAATGAAAAAAATGGAACAGAGCTGTAGTCTCATTCTCTTACACATTCTTCCCCTGATTCCCTCCCCCAGCTCCCCCGCCCTCTGCTCTCTGTCTGAGTGTGTTACCTTGCAGGTGCCCAGTACTCCAGGCATGCTGTTGCAGTCTCTTAGGGTGAACTTGACCTCGATGTAGATCCTCCTCGCTCCCTCTCGAGGGATCCAGACTGTCCTCAGCCAGTTGTTCTGGCTGGGGCTCATCACGTTACAGACCTGATTCAGAGTAAGTGTTAGGATCAGCAACTCAAGCAAGCAAGCAGCAACATGCATCCCCAATGAAAACAAACATTATGCGCTTTAAAGGAACTATGAGCGGCGGATTTTTTCCTCATTTATTCTTTTGGGTTTTTGGTTTTAAAGATGACCACACTGAGGCCAAGTCTTCTGTATGTTTGGGCGGGAATTTGCTGCTTTGTCCTACAGTGAAATACCACCATTCTTGAATACTTTATGGGCTCATTCTAGTTGGAGGTTTTTTGTGTGTTTCAAACCATTTAAATGTAACCACTTTTAAATTAATCCCTACAGAGTCTTATTGGGGAAAGCTTTGAAGTCACATTAAGATCTTATTATCCACAGTTTAAAATAATAATTACATTTTTTATTCTTAGTATGAATTGATAATTAATCGATTGATTCATCTTTTGGTCTAAAAATGTCAGAAAACTGTAAAATGCCCATTACAGTGAAGTCTTCAAATTGCTATAAGATCCCACTGTCAAAGGCACTGAAGGGACTACACTCAGAAAAAGGATATATATGAACATTAGAGAAGGTGGAACCACTGAGGTTTCAAACTGTCTCAGGGGCTCGGTGAATGGAGGTGAAAAAATATTACAGCAGTTATCAAAAGGACTGACCTAAAATATGTGTGATTTGATTAGATACAGTTCAGTAGTAGTTTGGGGGGGGTCCTAATAGGACAGACCGTTTCCATGTATTTGGTGTAATATGAAGTTACCTCAAACAGCAATGATAATAACAACAATAATAATAATAATAATAATAATATTAATAAATCAACTGTAATTATACAACACTTAAAAACATTCCAGGAGGCAATCAGGAAAAATAAAGTCAGAGAAATAAAATCATATAGAAGTTAGGTAAAATTAAAAGAATAAAATACCTCCATCAGTAAAACTAAGTACCAATAAAGTAAACTAGTAATCAGTAAAGCAGATAAAACATATTGTAAAACTAACCGCACCGGGGTAAATTAAAAGATACAAAATTGAAAGCATAAAATACCTCTCGCTAATATATGGTAAAAGCACTAATACTTATTTAATAGATAAGACATGATGGGAAATTAAACTAAGATTAAGAAGTGATTTAAAAGATGTCACTGATTCAGCAAGCCTTAGACCCTCAGGCAGGGAGTTCCAGAGCAGAGAGGCTCTGACTGCAAAAGCACGGTCGCCTTTGGTCCTGAGCCTGAACTCAGGAACAGCCAGCAGGGTCCTGCTCGAGGATCTGAGGCTGCAGCCCGGCTCATAGAGTTGCAGCAATTCATCAATGTAGCTAGGAGCTAAACTGTGAAGTGCTTTATAGGTGATCAATAAAATCAGGAAAAAAAAATGATATTGATATCAATATCATATTAGGCTATGTATATAAAATTATCTGGTGGGGGCCTTGGACTCATGCCCTCGGTATTCCCAGGCTATTGCCCTTGCTACTGTATGTGATATAATTATACTGGATGTCAAAGAAAGCAGCAAAAATGAGTGAATGAACACCAGCGCTGAATCCCAGGACTTGAGATGGGATTTCTGGCCAAATACACTCCCTGCAACCTGCAAACCGCCGCCTCACAGCCCCAACCAACACTGCAAATACTGAAGCATAACCTTGAAAAATTACCAAATAAAGTTGTCTCAACTTTTGTACTAGCAGGAATTGTTGCATAATCTTTATTTTCATTATTTAATGCAATACAGTAATATAAATAACTGGTGATGAATTATCCACAGTTTGTTTTGTAAAATCAAACCCAATTAATGTTTAAAAAAAAAAAACACAGTTTCCCTGGGATCAAAGTGATATATTCCACTGAAGTTCTTATAATAATTAATTCTAATAAAACACTCCACCCCACCGTACACTGAGAACATTACACACCTGGTACGTGTGGATAGGACTGAAGTACTCGTCCATCTCATTAATGGCGTCCCACTGTGCAGAGAGAGAGAGAAGAGAGAGAGGGGGAAACATTGGTGGGTCAGTCACATGTTCACGTTTTCAGACTCATATGCAGCAAATCATTCGCCTGCTGTCTATATTTCCCACGTGATCGTCCGTGCCTACGTGTCTCCCAAACCACATCGGAGGATTATTAGCTTCGACTTCAAATGAAACATGTGACGCCTCTTGTCACACAGGAGGCAGTCATGCCAGCGTGGCAGCTGTATGGTATGCTATATTTAAATCTCTCAGAAGACAAACAGTATGGTTTAAGTTTCAAGATGACTGGTGGCGATTTCAAACCTCAGAGATTGTACAGTTGCAAGAGGTTCAGAATTCACATTCACTTTCTCATATTCTGTATCTAAAAGCTTAATTTTAAAATCTCACTGTTAAACTGGTTTTAAATATGCTGATGTATTCCGCTCCAGCGTTCTGGCGAGCGACGTTTAGCGCATGCAATCATGTGTTCTACATTTCAGCATGGAATGCACTTAATGTAATTCCAACAGGACACATTTCGCTTTAATGAGATGCCCCTCTTGTATGTGATTAGATTTACATTGTTTACTGAATGGCGCCTGCAGCCAATGATAGAATCACAGGGAGGAACAGTGAGTTAAATGTGTTGGTATTTCTAAATGTGTTAATGCGTTAGTGTGTTACACCTCTCTGCACCTTACGACCAGCACCAGGAGGAAACTCAATCACAGGAAGCAGTTGTGAGCTGATATAACCTCTACCTATCTGCAGATGGGAGGAGAGAAATGCCAGAAAATGCCCAGATTTCATGCAGTAGGACGCACAGGAAGATTAAATTCAAAATCCAGATTTCTTTGAATGCATCAGTGTGTATGTACAGTATGTACACAGGCACACCTTTGCGGTGTAGGACAGATCTCAGCACCACTCAGTGTTCACAAACAGAACGAGTGTAAAGAAGGTATTTACATATGCATATTCATTTAGCAAAGACACACTTGAAACCATATAGTGAGTGTCACTTTAACTGTCAGGTCCTAGATAAACAGTCAATCTGACTGACTTTAGTGGGGTTTGAATCCGTCAGGGAGCTAATTGGATATGTCCATGCTACATTTTGTTCTGAACCCTCCTAATGCTCTTTGTTTTGGGAAAATGTCTGTAAAGGTCAAAGATCAAAGCCTTTTCATAATAACTCTAGCTAAAGGGAGTTCCAACAGATTATTTCTGTGTTTGCTCAAAGACCAGTGTTTGAAATGATTTCTGTCCCAAGTTTTTAGCTGTGCTCTGGGGCTGGCAGTATCTGTCTGTCTTTTAGTCCACCACTGGTCCAGACTGAAACATTCACAGTCCCGAGAGGATGTATCCTACTGACTTTGATTCTCAAAAACACTGTATTGACTTTTGTGTTTAAACCCACAACAGCTGGATAGCACATACAGATTTCACTGTTCTGGTTGCATGAAGAAAGTGGTATGTTCTTTATACTATGACAGTGTTACTAAAATGTAATTAAAAAATCACAATATATCACCTTGCTTACTGTATCACAATATATCCCAATATACTGAATTGTAACCCCTGTAAATATCATAACGGCAGATTCTTACTAATACGCACCCCTATATGTAACGTAATGTAACATAATGTAACGTAACATAACGTAACGTAACTTAACGTGATGTACTTCTTTTTCGACCCAAACGTGATATTTTCTTAAACCTAACCAAGTAATTTTGGTGCCTAACCTAGTAGACTATTTTATTATTAACCTAACCAAACCATTCCCGTTAACCACATGTTTAATGTTACATCACGACTTAGGTAGCACACTTAAGGTGTGGTACACCTGACTAGTATTCTCCACCGGTCATATATGTCATTTTAGGGCTCATTGATAATCGACCTATTCAGTCATTTAGGTATAAGGATGTCTTGGACTTTCCCTGTAGCACCATTATGTTGACATTTGTAGTTTTGAGTAAGAAGTCTCATTCCCACTATGGGAAGGATTGCCATTAAATCCATTAAAAATGTTTTATCCAGAACCATTATCAGGTCAAAATTTGAATTGCCCAATTCTTTACGTTTATGTCAAAATTCTCATGGCTAATAATGTACAAAAATATCAGGATAAGAACAAGGTTAAAACAGTGTAATTTCTTTTTAAGCACATGTTAGAATCCAACCTGTCAAAGTTATGCTGCTTCACTCCTCTACAGCTTATTGCCACACATAAACACTTTATATCTTCAACTCATGGTTTTCATTGTCAGTGCAAATCCAGTTGCACAGTTATATGGTGCACCAGAAGTAACCCACCACAGCTCAGTCATAGAGGAAATAAGGATGTTCTGTCAACTGGTTTATTCATGGTAAAATGGAGACTCAATCGAAGGGTGTCAAAAGTTCATGCAAACAGATTAACCCAAACTGCAGGGGCTCGAAGGGATTTTGAGAGCAGCTTTTTTCCTTCTCTGCTCCTGTTGAAACTGAATATTTGCATGTGACATAAAGCAAGTGAAGGCCAGTCAGTAATAATAATAATAAGCAATAGGATGTCAGTTAACAAAAGAAACAAAGATTTATTTGATATAAGGGAAAGCAGATTGTAGTACAGACACAGACACACAGACACCTTTACAAACAGCCATAAATGTTCTTCTGGTGACTGTAAAAGCACCAACAGACTTTTTGTTTGGCAGAGCAATTTTCTGTTTGTTTTTCTGTTTGCTGTACTCCTGTTACTGTGAATGGTAGTAAGTTTATCTCTCTGGCAGGTGTTACCTCCCACATCACACACTCCATAGTCACATGGCCACGCCCCCTATTTGATTCTCACTACTGCGTTTTTAAACTTTGGTGGCAGGGAGGGATGTAGCAGAATTTTAGGGTTTCATTAAACTTAAATCATTGGCAACACCTATGTTTACCCTACTATTTCATGTCAAAACCACTGCTGTGAAAAAAGGTCTATTCTACAACCTACAAACTAATGGTTAAGTGATCTACTTGTACCAATGCAGGAAGAGAGAATGGTACTCACCGGCCAAATAATAAAGAAACAATAATGAAGTAGAAATATCTCAGTGGATGTAAACAGAAACAGTGGCTCAATGACTTCCTCCTCCTCTCCCAAGAAAAAAACTCTTCCCCCAATCTCCCTCCTTCAGATGAGCTGTACTGAGGATTAGATCCAACACTGGTGCTCTCTTGAATCATGCTCACAACACATTTCAACCTTCAACAATATACTCCATTGATTATGTTGTTGTAATCATCGTCAATTTGTATGCAGGTATGAATGAAGACATGCATGTGTGTTTAACCCCAGTGTTACCCATGATCCTCTTGGGCTGCGAATCCCAGCGCGAGTGGCAGAGTAATTGAAAGGGAAAGTGTCAACCCCGGGAAGCTTTGGGCCGTGCCCAGCTGAACTCGGCCTCGGATGAGACGATGGGGCTTTGCATGGCAGCCCTCCAACTCCTCTCCTCAGCCCTGACTCCCCCTAACCCTCCCCCCTCACGCACGCTCCCCAGAGCGCCACCAGCCAAAAACCACTGGGATAATTAAGATGTAGGAAGTCTCACCCATCTCACCCTTCCCTCCCTTCCTCATCCTCTCATCTTTATCAGCTAAATTGAAACCGTCCTTGAACTTGTGAAGACCTCGGCTAATTAGCGGGGTGTATAACCTCTCTATCTCCCTCATTATTCCCGTCTTGCCATCGCCACACTCTCAACCTTTCCTGCTTTTTTTCTTTTCCTGGGAAATCTTAGATTTTTTCTCCTCGCATATTCTCCGGCAGTGAAAAATCACAGCCGCTGAAGGCAGATTGTCAGGAGGTTGGGAGTTGTACGGCAAGCAGTGAGGCGACGAAATTGGTTGCTGTTTAGTAAAGTAGCAGACAGCCAGGGAGAAGAAGAAGAAGAGTCAGAGAGCTGCAGAGGGGCATGTTTATCTTCTGAGAACGCAACAAGAAGAGTTCTCCATCGTGATGACAAGAAAAACGCAGTGCTCTGCAGAGCGGCCCACTGACAATGCAGTGTGAGCGTGTGTGTATGTCAGACAGAGAGAGAGAGGGGAAACGACAACATAGAGAGGGAGAGTAAAAGGGAGAGATTAATTGGCTGTAAATTGCACATCTGTTTCCTGCCTGTCAACTCATCGGATCTCTCATCAGCAGAAATCAAACGTGGCAGACAGAGAGCACACACACATTAACATTGTACACATAATACAAATACACTGCCGGTACACACGAGTGTAGGAAAATAAAATGTCTGTCAACTCTTTTTCATGGCATTTGTCAAACACTGGAGGTTTCAATCAACTCCAACTCCATTCAGACAAAACCTGTGATAAAAAGACACACGATAAAAGATTACGATATGGTTTGAGTTCAAATTGAACACTGAACGGGTGTTTTCACTCCCCCAGGTGATTAAAGCATTCCTAAAGTTCGAACTGAACGTAACCAAACTCAGTCACAGATACGAGAATGCAAGGGAGTGACCATCGAACGAACGAGCGCAGCCGGTCGTTGCTGTTGGTTGAGGCTGTGACTTTGCCGGTCAAAGTTCACAAAAGTTGTACTCCACGCAAACAAATTTGCACATGTGTGACCATGCCATGAAGGTTGAAGCGGTCCCGCCCTCCCAGGTGCAACAAAGTTAACAGAGTGAAGGAGCTGTCAATCAAGCACAGACTGTACACACCCATGCAGTCCTGAGAAGCGATCTATCAGGCAACTGTGTAGGTGTACTCTGGGTGTATGGAGCCTTCTGCTGTCTTCATTACATACTTACATACGTAAGTCACTGTAAAAAGTGGCAGTACAGTAAACAGAGAGAGTGGCCATAAGCTCATTGTCCCAGGTGCTACATTTCAACCTGTGTCGTTGTTATCCCCCAGAATGCCCCGAGTGAACTGAAATTACACTGATATCATCACTTCATTAGAAAAAATACAAACAAAGACAAAAATCCAGCCTGTTGCTAATTGTG